GCGGCCTCTGGGTCAAGATCGCGAACCCGCGGCGCCTCGTCCGCGTGGAGCGGGTGCCGACCGACGAAAATGTAGCCGACGACCTGTCCCGGGGTGAACTTGGGCCGCCCCGGCAGCTCGGCGCCGCGCGACTTGGCCCGCGCCTCGACGAGGCCTTCCGCGCGCCCGTATCGTGGGAATCGATGCTCATCCCGGCCAGGTGAGCCAGCGCTCGCAGTTTTTTTGTTTTTGTTTTCTTTTTCTTCTCCTCTCTCTCCTGCGAGGCGGTCGCGACGCGGGCCCGCGCCCGCGTTGCTCGCGGCGCGCGCCATCGGCTGGCGCGCGAGACTCGGCGAGGGAGAATCTCGCAAATGTCAAGTTAGCAGGTTTTGTTTCATTCCCTACCTAGGCTCTGCCTAGAAGGGCTCTTACCCTGTACGCGCACGGGGCCGGGCAGTGCTCCCCGCCCTGGGCGGTTCCCCCAGGATCCGCCCCGCGGTTCCCCCAGTGACGCCCCCTTAGATTAGCGTTGCTTATCTCATCTTCGCCTAGCTTATTTCATCTAACCTTAGCTTAGCTTCATCTTAATTCAGGTTTATACTAGGATAGCTTAGCTTAGCTTCGCGTAGCGCTGCGCTGCACTAGCATAGCATAGCCAAGCCTTCCATATAATCGCATAGCGCAGCAAAGCATAGCATAGCATGGCATACCATAGCATGGCATCGCATATCATAGCACGGCATAGCATAGCATAGCATAGCGCATCTTCGCATATCATAGAAGAGCATGTCGTATCTTAGCATAGCACAGCGCGTCATGGCATAGCATAGCTTAACATTTCATAAAATTGCATAAAGCATCATAGCATAGCATAGCATAGCATGGCATAGCATAGCGCAGCATAGCATGGCATGGCATACCACAGCAATTAATGCTGCTTTCCTATGGGGCTCCAACTTCTAGGTAGGGTCGCACTGGGGTAATTAGTTCTCGCACAGAGCTCGATGCTCAGTCAAGCAGTGTTCTGCGCAATGTGCCGCGCGTGGACATCGACGCGATCTGCCCCTGCCCGTGGTCAAACGGGACGAAGGCGCTGCAGCGCCTCGAGGGCGCGCAGTCCGATGATTTTCAAGGTTGCGATTGTCTCTCGGACGCCGCAGCGGCAGCAGTGAGAGAGCTGCTTGCGCGGCCGCTCGGCGGCGAGCACAGCGGGCGCGCAGGTCGCGCGCGCGCGCGCCCTTCTGCATCGAAAGGGCGCACTGTGGGCGCCATGCCAACTGGCGGCAAGGCCGCGCGGGCACGCCCGTCGCGGGCAAGCTCTGCAAGCTCGGTATTATCAGCATCTGTGTCATCGATCGTGCAGATATCGGCGCCCCGCGCGACCCGTCGCAGACCGCGTTTCTCCTTTCTGCGGCCTCGCGGCGCCCCAGCGTCGCGGCCGCGCGCGCAGGGGCCCCCATGGCCGGCGCCGCCGCCAGGCCCGCCGCCCGCGGGGCGCAGGGCCCGTCGGCGGCGCGGCCGCAGTTCGGCGGCGGATTCCGCGACAGCGGCACGCCGAGCGATACTTGCGGCGCCGGAGGGTTTCGAGCAGATGGGCGATCCGCGCCGCGAGATCGCGAGAGCGGCCGAAGCCGCTAAGTCGCCCGAGGGGGCGGGCGCGGGCCCAGGTAGCCCGAAACAGCCCCCTGCTCGGGTCGCGCCCGCGGTCGCTGCCGCAAGTGCGAAGCGGCTTCGAGTGCTGGGCGAATAACGCGCGCGACGTTTTGCAGCGCAGGGGCAGCGAGCTCCCGCCGTCGGTCGACGGTCTCCTGCCATGGTCAACGATGTTCATAGGTCATAGACTGTCTGTAATTACCTCTCGCGCGTGAAGAAGGCCTGCCACGTCGCACGAGTGGCGCACGCGGCGCACGCGCGCGCGTCGTTGACGGGAGCCAAGCTGGCCATCGAAGAGCGTTCGGGTTGGTCGGCGCGGCCTCGCATGGCGGCCCGCATAGCCGCTGCTAGAACAGTTACTGGAACGCCCAGGCGCGTTGCCAGAAACGGGCGGTCTGGGCTTCCTTCACGTGGCCGCGCACGCGTGTCTACTTCGCCCCCCGTCAGAGGCGATGGTCATCAAGCGCGCCGCATCGCTTAACGACGCGTCGCAGTTGCGCGCTGGCCCATTCATTGACGAAACAGCCGCCGTCTTATCTCTCGCCAGACGTAACTAACGTTAAAGACGGACAACGATTGTGCGCAAGTGCCGGTGCAAACGCTCACGCGTCACGTGCCCCGTGCACGCCCTCGGCGCTCGGTTTAACTCCCATTCTGAAAGCGACGCCCCGTGGGCTGGCTGGCGCGCCACGAGCGCGCGCAGCGCGTTCCGGGCAGCACTGCGCCACGCGGAAGCAGGCGACGCAGACGCCTATGGCGCCCGCTCGTTCCGACGGGGCTATGCTCAAGACATTGTGGAGTCCGCGGTCGAGTTACCGACATCCTGAGGGCGGGCGACTGGCAGATGCCAGCTGGATGTGTCACGTAGACGTCGAAAAAGACGGAGCGCCAAGCCGTCGCCGAAGCGCACTTCGGCACGTCGTCCAGTGACGACGAACGTAGGGGGGGGCGAACCCCCCCAGCGTCCAGCGACGCTAATACGCACACGGTTGGTGCTGATGCGGTTGCGCCTGGCCCATCGCACGCTCGCTCACTCTCGACTGGCCCGTCGGTCGCTCTCTCGCGGGCTGCGGGTCTGCGGCCGCTTCTCTGCCTGGCACTGAAAGTCAGCGGGACTTTGGGTGCCGCAGGCTCGCTGGGGCAGCGCTCGACCTCCGCCCCTGGGCCCGTGGCAATCTGCGTTTCGGCTTTCGCCCTGGCGCGCCAGCCGCCAGTGTCGTTTGACGCGGCGGGCTGGCGCATCAGCTGGAGGCGTGCGGCCGCGGCCTCGCCCAACGCTAATTGGGGGCCGCCCTCCTCTCTCGGGTGGCATCGCGGTCGAACGTCGCCGCTGATAACTTGTTACTGCAAGTCATAAGCCGACGCCCCCAGGCGGGAGTGCCCCGCCGTCGGCAACCCGCGCGATGGCGGGCGGCAGCGTGACCACCCGCCGCGGGCGGCCGCCCCGTCGGGCGGGCCAAGCTCCCGCGCGGGCACGCTGGCGTGCCGCGCGGCCGTGCGTCGGTGTCCTTCCTCCCTCTGTTCTTCCGTGCGCGGTCGAAATGTTTCCTTTTCTGCCGCTTGGCCGCGGGGCGGGATATCAAGCGCCCGGCCATGTCTGCAGCGCCCAACCTGCCTAGTGTGCACTCTGAGGCGGGGCGGCTGGCCAGGGTGTTGTCCTCTGCCTGCCAAAGCGCCGCTTTGGACCACCCCTGGGTCAACGCGCGGCGCGTCCGTTCGCCAGCGCGCCGGACGCGACCGCGGTCGCTGCTCGTTTTCTCCCACCCACCACCCTCGAAGCGGGGTATGGCACCCATGTGCTTCGGCTTTCGACCTGGCGCGCCAGCCGCCAATGTCGTTTGACGCGGCGGGCTGGCGTATCAGCTGGAGGCGTACGGCCGCGGCCTCACCCAACGCTAATTGGGTGCCGTTCTCCTCTCTCGGGTGGCATCGCGGTCGAACGTCGCCGCGAAGGAGACTTTTGGGGCGATAACCCCCGAAGGGGTGGTAGAGTCCATTGTTCTTGTTGAAATGAGAATTAAACATGAACGCTTTGAGTCGTCACCCCATGTTCGCGCAAACATCTGGCCCTCCAACCCGCAATTCGCAAAGTCCATGCGGGCACGATTGCAATTACTGCTTGGTACTTGCTAGCGCATCTCTGCGCCGCGCAGGCGCGGGCACGCTGGTGCGCAAGGCGCCCAGTTGGATTAGCATAGCTGCTGCAAGAGCGCTGCGACCACGATGGCATTTTATTTTGAAAACGTCCCAGCGACTCTCTGAACCAGGGTGGGTGGGCGCGCAAGCATCTCAAAACGGGTTGGTGACTCGAGCGGGTGCGATATCTTGGTGACGCCGGCGGCGGCAACAACGATGATGATACTAGCCGCTATGAAAGCTACGATGACGGTGACGACGACAAGGCAAAAAACGGCACCGATGCTGGCCGCAAAGATGACAATGATGATGTCCCTTGTACAAGTGATGAAAGTGATTGGGATGATGGTGGCGGCAATGCCAGCGACCGACGATGACGGTAACGGCGGCGATGCGATGGCGTTGATGACTGTGATTGGAAAGCGCGCGCGCTAACATTCTATTAGTCTGACAGGCTTCCCGTTGATCAATCACGCGGTCGCGTCATGTGTTGTAAACGAACTCTATCGTGAAATGCTTCGAACACCCATGGCTATGGTAAGATTTCCACACCCGCGCGTGGCGGCGCGCGCATGTGGTCCACATGTGACTAGTTCACACAAAATCGCGCTCTGGGCGTTTGCTAGATCACCGCGTATGGCGTGTGCAAAGGTGTGGTGAGACGACCCTGCAGGTTGCTAGAATGTTTCATCATGACTTCAGGCAAGGCGCGCGGGCAGAACATCTGCAAGACATTTGACGAACAAACAATGGGTCCTTTTCAGCACGCGGTCCCCAGAAACCCCGAGCGTCCCCAAACCTGCTTGTTCATCCTGAGTCGTTTTTGACGGTCCCGGGGCCCGGCGACGGCCCCCCGAGGCCAACAATTGCGAAAACCCCTCGTCTTCATTTTTGTCAAGACGTTGCACATCTGGCCCCCCCCCCACCCCGTTATCTAGAGGCCTCCTAGATGGGGTCGAAGGATCTCGCCGCAACGGCGATGCATCGGTGGTGCATCGTCGACGCGTCGGCGATGCATCGGCGACGTCTAAGATGCAGCGGCGACGTCCCTGTGGAGAAGATCGCGCTCCGCATCGAGCCGCATCGTCAATGCCTTGGCCATGCAGAGCGACCACCCTTCGACCCCATTTTCTCGGACTCCACCTGCGAGGCCTAGTTCTGCCCCCGCCCTCCGTGCCCCTCTTCCCTTCCGCCCCACTGGGAGGGCGCGCGCGGGCCGCCGAGGGCCGTGCCGTGCGAGCTCACCAACCGCAGGCCCAGCGCGGAGAGCAGCAGCGCCGCCGATGCCTGGCCGCCCCCGCCGCCGGCAGCGCCGAGGCCGGCGCGGAGCACCTGCGGCGCCGGGGCGCGGAGAGCGGCGCAGCGGCCAACGCCCAAGCGCACGGTTTGGAGCCCACTCTTCTATTATTCGCGGTGGCGCCCGTAACCGGCCCCCCTCCCCTGGTCACGTCACGATTCCCCTGTCGCACCCCCCCTGGTCACGTCACGATTCCCCTGGTAACGCCCCCCTCCCCCCTGGTCACGTCACGATTCGCGCTGACATTCTTCGGCGCTCCCGATTGGCGTCGGCGCGAATCGGGACGTGACTGGCCCCTCCCCCATCTCCCCCTCCCTGGTCACGCCCAGCATCGCTAGGGGATCCGCCGACCCCATGTTTGCCAGGAGCGAGAAGGCGTGTGAGATGACTGACTATCCCCCCTCCCCCTTTCCCCGTCGGCCGGAAATCGCGCCAGAGGGGGGGAGGCCTCGAGGGGGCCCGCGTGATAGTGGGGAAGGGGGACGAACTTGTCAGCCCACTTGGTGGCTCTCCGAACCTCAGAAAAAAAGGCGGTCCAATAAGCGCCGAGACTATCCAAGAGAGCGTGGACACGGCCCAAGATGATTCCACGACGGTCTGATATGGCTTCAAGATGACCGAGGAGGCCCTCAAGACGGCCCGAGAGTGCTTCCAGAGGGACGCCGAAACGACCCCAAGAGGCAAACGTCGCGTCAGTAGGAAATTGTTCATTTTGACATGCACGCCTTTTTTCGTCTTGGCAGCGCCCACTTCGGCCCAAGAAACTCCCACGTTTGTCCCAAGACGGCCCATGGGGTCCCCAAGAGGGCCCAACAAAGCTCCATGAGGGCCCCAACCTGGAGCCCCTACGACGGACCAGGAGGGCCGAAGGAGGGGCCCGAAAGGGGCAACACGAACTGACATCTCGAGACTGTCCCGCCGCGATGGCCCCGAGAGCCAAGAACCCCCCAGAGACCCCAGAGGCGCCCCTAAGAGGCCTCTAGAAGCTTCCAAGATCCAACAGACACCCAAGAGGCCCCAAAGAGGCCCTCGAAAGGTCCCCAAGAGCCCAGCAGATGCCCCCAAGGACCCTCCAAGAGGCCCTTGTCACGCTTCCCCGAAAAACCCGAATATCCATCCCCGAGGCTCCTGACCCACAGGCCTGGAAAGGTGGCACGACTCGTGACGAATCCACTCTTGTGGGGGCCGGCGGACTGGCGCAAGCCTCTTACATACAACATAATCTATGCTAGAATTGTGACAACCCGACCGGGCAACTGGCACTTCAGCAAACTACATCAGCGGCTTGGGCCTTCGACCCGAGACAGTCCAACAGCACCCGGCCCACGACGGCTCCCGGTGGCCGCGGGCCGGCCCAAGCGACGCCCAGTGTAGCCCAACAGGACTTCCAGAACGCCCCACGGCACCCCAATTTGGCCCCAGACGGCCTGACAAAGGCCCCACCCAGCCCGAGGCGGCCCCAATACGGCCCACACGGCGCCGCCGACGGCCCACGCGGGCGGACTCCGAGAGGCCCCGCAGACACCGTCAGATGGCCCAAAGGCCCAAAGGGAATCATCACGATAACCTCCGCAAGGACAAGAATTTTCATTCCCTCAGGAAACCTCCGTTCGGGGCAAACTGATTCCGACGCCTCGCGAAATTCCCCACGACGGCTCCCAGGCCGCAAACGGCCCAGGAGGGTCCCGAAAAGCACCCTGTACGATCCCACACAGCACCCGGTTGCCCAGAGATTGCTTTTGCCCCCGCCTGCGGCGACTTGCAACCGTATTTTCTATAATTTCACGCGCGCGATTGTGCGCGGCAGTCACCGTGGCACCAGCAAGACGGGCCCGAATCTTGTTTTCGGCCTCCTCTCTGGCACAACATGTCTGTAACTTCCCGCGCACGCTTGCGCGACCACAGTGCGTCCGAGTGGAGAGGTGCTTTCTTGCTTGGCCCCAGGCCAAAAAAATACAACCCGAACGCCCACCCATCCATCCTCACAGCGGACACGCCGGCCCGCTGTGCACCCGAGGGGAGACGATGCGGCCTTGCACGGCCATGGCACTACTAAACTTGCAACCCGATATCGACTCGTCTTCCTCCAACTCCTCTCCACCAATTATCCGATGCATCCGCCTCCTACTTCGCCACCGCCTCCTCCTCGCACTCATCCTACACCTCCCCCTTCTCCTCCTCCTACTCTTCCTCCTCCTCCTTCTCCCTCCGCTCCAACCGACTCCCCCCTTTAATCACAGGAAAACAAATAATGACATGCGGGGTCCCGCAGAGATGGTCAACTGATCCTGGTAAGCCGCATGTACGGACGCATTGATGTACAGAGTACGGATGCACGAAATCGCGTAGTGGTGGTGAATAGTGGTAGTGGTAGTAGTAGTCGTCGTAGTGGTCGTAGTAGTTGCAGTATCAATACTAGTAGTGGTAATAGTAGTAGTGGCAATAGTAGTAAAGGTCGTCGTCGTAGCAGTAGTAGTAGCAGCAGTAGTAGTACTAGTAGCAGTAGTAGTAGTAGTCGTAGTAGTAGATGAAGTAGTAGTAGTAGAAGTAGTAGGAATCGTAGTCGTAGTAGTAGTAGTAGTAGTAGTAGTAGTAGTAGTAGTGATAGTAGTAGTAGTAGTAGTAGTAGTAGTAGTAATAGTAGTAGTAGTAGTATAAAAGAAGTCGTAGTAGTCGTAGTAGTGGTAGAAATCAAAGAAATAGTAGTAAGAATAATAGTAATCGTAGTAGTCGTCGTATCAGTAGTAGTAGCAATAGTAGTAGTAGTAGTAGTAGTAGTAGTAGTAGTAATGGTAGTCGTAGTGGTCGTAGAAGTGAAAGCAATAGTAGTAGTAGTAGCTGTTGTTGTTGTAGTCGGAGTAGTAATAGTAGTCGTAGCCGCCGTCGTCGTCGTAGTAGCAATACTAACAATAGTAGTTATAGAAACAATAGCAATGGTAATGCGAATGATGACATTAGTAATGGTATTCATAATCTTCGACGCAGGAGTAGTAGTATTATTAGTACTATTCGCCGTAGTGTTAGTATTAGAAAAATAACAATGAACGCACGATTCGTAATAGTAGTCGTCGTCGTAGTGAAAGTAGTAGTAGTAATAGCAGTAGCAGTAGTAGTAGTAGTAGTAGTAGTAGTAGTAGTAGTAATGGTAGTAGTAGTGGTAGTAGTAGTAGTAGTAGTAGTAGTAGTAGTAGTAGTAATAGTAGTAGTAGTAGTAGTAGTAGTAGTAGTAGTAGTGGTAGTGGTAGTAGTGGTAGTGGTAGTGGTAGTAGTGGTGGTAGTGGTGGTCTCAGTAGTCGTAGGCAGAGGTGAATGGAGGCAAGGGGTACGGATGTACGGACGCACGGGTTGCGAAACATGCGTTGCAGACTTGTCATCTTCCTTTTGCGAGAAAGATGATATCAAAAAATGAACATCTCTGGGGCTGTCTGGCGACAATGTAATCCGGGAGGACAACAACATCGACCACAACGGGGTGCGAGAAGTGGTGGTGACAACTACGACTACTACTACTACTACTCGCACTCGTACTCGTACTACTAATACTACTACTACTATTAGTAAGACTACCACCACAACCACCACTACTACGACTACTCTGGCAACTCCTACTACGACTACTATTGCTACTATTAGGACCACTGTTGTTAGTACTACTACGACTACTATTGCGACAACTGGTAGACATGCTGGGAATAGTACCAGGAAAAACACTATCACGCGTAATGATAATGGAATTGAGAACCTCATTCGTGGTAGTTGTAGTTGTAACAGTATTGGTAGTAGTAGCAAATATAATGCTGTGTAGCGGTACTAGAAATAATAGCCTGGTGTAGCCGTGCGGGTAATGAAAATACGAACAATGGCCGTGATACGTCGTTCTGGTACTCGTATTTGAAGAAGTATCGCCGTACTGGTGATACTACAAATTTTAGTCCAGTAGAACGGCTAAGAATAATAGTAATAGCAGTCGTGAAAAGTAATAATGGTTGGTGTTGTCGCGGGGGTAGCGATAGCAGGAACAATGACAAATATATGAAAGTGGTACAGGTAGTCGCAGCAATCGTGGCAATCACACTGAAACGAATAAAGAAAAGACGTCGTCGTCTTAAACATAGTAGCGACAACAGCAATAACGCACGTGATAACAGCAACGATAATAGTAGCAACGATACGAGCAATCGTAGTAGTGGTAAAGTAGCTGTAATAATACAGATGCTGGGACTAGAAGCAGTAGTACGAATGCTAGTGGCAACACTATCGGTTTTCGTGGTAGCGGTAAAGGAGTTTTTCGTTTTCGGGGTAGCAGTTGTAATAGCAGTAATAAAATAATACTTCTACTGGTATTCGTAGAATTCGTAATAGTGGTGGTAGTAGTAGTAGTAGTAATAGTAGTAGTAGTAGTAGTAGTAGTAGTAGTACTATTAGTAGTAGTAGTAGCAGTAGCAGTGGTAGTATAGTAGTAGTAGTAGTAGTAGTAGTAGTAGTCGTAGTAGTAGTATACTAGTAGTAGTAGTAGTAGTAGTAGTAGTAGTAGTAGTAGTAGTAGCAGTAGTAGTAGTAGTAGTAGTAGTCGTGCGAGTCGAAGAAGTAGTTGTAGTAGTGGTAGTAGTAGTAGTAGGTAGGTAGGTAGGTAGGTGGGTAGATAGGTAGGTAGGTAGGTAGGTAGTCATAGCAGTAAGTAGTAGTAGTAGTAGTAGTAGTAGTAATAGAAGTAGTTTAATTTGTAGTAGTAGTAGTCGTAGTAGTAGTAGTAATAGTACTCGTAGTAGTAGTAGTAGTAGTAGTAGTAGTAGTGGTAGTAGTAGTAGTAGTAGTAGTGGTGGTGGTAGTAGTAGTAGTAATAGTAATGGTAACTGCGGTCATACGATGAGTAACACCACTAAAATTAATAGTCGAAAATGTGGTATTACTCGTCGTAGACGAACTAACCGTAGTACTAGGAGTAGTAGCAATCGTAGTAATAGCAGTCGTCGGGTTAGTAGTAGTAGTAGTAGTAGTAGTCGTCGTCGTAGTAGTAGTAGTAATAGTAGTAGTA